CATAAAATTTGTAGAGATTAGAATTAAATAGATGTTACTATGCTGATTACTCCGGATTTTATTTAAATGTAATTTGATATCAAAATATAATCTATTAGTATGTCAAATAAAATATTTTCATTTGTATTTAACTGAATGCAGTTCCATAATACATGTTGAATGTCAAAATCTCCTATGTCCAAAATGTCCTGGTTTTTTAATGACATTAAAGAAGAGTCCTCACACATTGTACTATCTATTTCATATCCCGAAAGACGATAAAATACGATGATATTCCTACATTCATCACAATTGAGTACTTGTAATTTCTATTTCAGTATAATAAATCAATTCAGTTAATTTCTAGTTATATAGATATTTTAATATATTAAAAAAACATTAATAAATTCATAAAACACGGATAGAATATATATATAGAATATATTTCTAATATATATAGGTACATGACATAAAATGAAATGGGCTCAGATACTAATTTCGTGTTTCGGAATCTGAAAAAGAAATAACTTTGTAACGGATTTCATATTACTTAACTAACTAACATCGTTTAACTTGACGGTTCTACAATTCACCATTGTTTAAGCGTAGAATACACAAAGAATAAGTGACTTTTTTCTTGATCAATATTTCAGATATTGAAATATAAAGTTCTATTTAATAATTTAGACTCAGTCTAGCCCATCTTTAATCAATGACCATGCTGATTAAAAATTTTCTACATTAGAGAAAAAAATCCAATCAACATGCCTATTTTTAGGACTATGACACACCTGGAACTCTCTGAACTCTCAATCACATTCAACAAAATAAAATCTGTGCTCGTTGAACGAATCATTTCACTAAAAATCGCTTCAATCTTCGAATACGATATGAATCGCTTCGTTTTTCAAACAAAAAAGAATCGTTGTACCTATTGAAAAGTACACTCTTTTAGAATCCGTAAGTTCACATTTATTATTGTTACTCGTTATCCCAATGTCCATTAGTTGTGTGTCACGCACGATGGAAACTTCCAGTCTGTCCATGCACGTATAGCGTAAAATTCATTAAGCATATAATAAATGTTAAGACCAAGGATACGTATCACTTATGACGTGTTCCAACCCAGCGTGACAAATTAAGAATGTTCAAACATTTTTGTATTTAGAATTCATAAAGGGGCCATTTAGAATTCCGACTAGATGCCCCATAAAGTTCAACTAGTTTCAAGTGCGACGAGGTTTTCTGCACCATAGTTGTCATGTCATAAGCACATAATCGAAGGAGAATGCAAAACAAAAGAATAGTTTTTTAAGAGATAATCGTTTTCAGAAATCTCACTCTACTCGAGGTGCATGATCGACACTAGTCGTGATTGGCTTTAACAATAAGTTTTGCACCAGTTTCAAAGATATCAAATGACGATGAACACATGCAGTTATAATATGAATATATTTCAACTATTTCAACAAAAGATACTATATAAGACATTTCTGCCAAAACTTAATGAATATTACCTTCGTGCCGTGTAACAATTCTCAGGAATTTATTTTGGATTTTTTAAACTTTGTCTATATGTGACTTGGCTGCAGATTTAATATCCGTAAGTGATTATGAGTCTTATGCATGTCTTGTAGAGTGCAAATTTTATATTTGTTTTTAGTTTGTTGTTCATTATGAGTAGGTATAATCTTCTTACAATTAGTGTAGGCAAAGTTTGCCATTTCTGTGATTGTATGTGATTCAGATGATTCAGATCATTTTGTTGTCTAAAAATATTTTGCTGTGTTTGACCATGGTGTTCATTTATTGTGATTTGTTCCGTTTTTCAACAAAACGTTTTTTAAACAAGTCATTTGCGACTTACGACATGACGAGTCATTTGATAAGTTTGATCCTCGAAATGAAGGCATCATTAAAGGATTATCCTGAGCCATTTCCAGGAAAATTGGACATTCACAGCCTTGAAAGAGAAAGTTTGGAAAACTGTATGTAAACAGCTGGACAACGAATCTAAAGTCTACTTAGAAATGATGAAGGCTGAGATGAGTCCCAATCGTTATGAGCAAGAAGATTCAGAGAAGGCTATTACGATATTTTCTTACAAAATAATCATCTGAATCTAGGGTGCTCAGAAATAATGACTGCTCGAAGTGTAGAGACTTGCTCCTATTTATCTATATTGTAGATATGTATCAAACGATATTGCGGCTTCCGTGACCAAATTAAAACCTAGAAAGGCATTTAGAATGGATAGAGTTTCGGCAGAAGCCATGCCAATAACCAATGATCAATTCGCGCTGTCAATAAACGCCTATATTAAGCGAGGATACTTTCTCAACGAGTGGAAGAGAAATCATCATGCCCAAAAGAGAAAAGGAATCAAAAATAGTGTGCCCCGTTTGTATGCAATCAAATTTGACCATGGAACATCTATTGCAGAAAGGAAGTTTTACTGTCCATGCTCTGGGAGTTCTCCTAAGCTAATAAAAGCATAGAATGGAGTAAAGAGACTAAACTGTCTCTTAATAATTCTTATCTTCAATGAGAAAATATTAAGATCGAAGTTAGAAAAAGAGAACTTCTTAGCTTACAAATATAAATAGTTATTTCTTTAACAGTGGAGGTAACTACAGCGGTAACTACTAGAAAGTTCATATTGCTCTAAAATTTTCACAAGTGTACTTCAGAGTTCCAGTACTGAATCTTAGAACATTCCGTGGAATGTAATCTGCTCAGTCTCGAATTTCCACGCGGAGTCTACAGTAACTCTGGACTGGCTATCATTTAACTAAGAAGCTATTCTTTTAACTGGAAGCACCTTAAGGAACATCTCACCTTAAGTTTTAGAGACAGAAAAATTCCTGATGAAATGTATCTTGGGATTTTTGACCCACTTTCCAAAATATTTTCGGAACACATCCCGAAAATGTACACAAAAGCTACAAGAATAATTCGAGCTCTGTCCAGGTTGATTCCTAATACGAGAGGATTTAGAATTTAAAACATATATGGCCTATTACAGAATCGTAGAATATTGTAGATTTGGTCAAGTTCCATACTCTGTTATATTCTTTTCTTAAAACTTTGTAGATCGATCTATGAACATCTTGATAACGAATTGGTTTGTTGGATTCAGATGAGGAGGCTTTTATTACTTCTTTAACATAGATATCAACTTCTTAGTTTTCTGATATTCCTTGATGACAAAAAATTTATGTGAGGATTATATGTTAGTATTAGCGAGATCTGTGTAAATTATTTGTAGAATTATTTTACTTCATGTGTTTTCGCCCTGGCTTGGATTACGCTCAACAAATCGATGTAAATGACCGAATATTGAAGATTATTTGATTGTATATAGTGGAAGGCTCCAAGAAGGCTCGTATATATTTCGTCTGTAAAGATGGAGGATGACTTATGGATACGTCATCCTCGATAAATTAATTATTGATGGTGATTAGATTTTTTAGTTGATTTCACTGT